TGCAGCCTGCGGCCGATGAGGCTGTGTGATTGGCTTGTCTGCTTTTATCTGGCTAATGAAGAGAGGAGCGGAGAAGACGAACAGTTAATGTCCAGTTAATCTGGGAGACATTTTAAGGGGCTCAAGTTAAGGCTTGTTATATTACATTATAAATCAGCTTACAGTAATAAAGAAGAGAAAGGAGAGATTGTCCCTGCTGTGTTGAAGAGTGGGGCCTCGCTTTAAGAGGTATCCTCTGTCTATGTCCACTCCAGGTCACACGTGTGGGGGGGTTTGTCATGTGTGGTGTGTGGATCGACGGGTCGATGTGGGTGGGTGGGTAGATGGGTGTGTGCGTGTCCATGCAGGCTTGTGTGTATGCATGCATAAGGCACAAGTGTCTGCATATTACTCCTAGTATTGCATAGAAAAGGCTATAAGAAAATCATCTTTATTCATGACTAATGTTTCTCAGAACTAGTATATTGCAAAAGGCCTTGGAAACTAGGAACATAATGTATTTAATGCATGTCCCTGGGAGAGAGATTGTCTTGAAAGTCCCTTTTAGTTTGAAGAGGGAAAATAAAGAAAGTAATTTTCTCTGAACTGGCTCTCGGATGTAGAGAGGGTAGAGAGAGTGATCGCCCTAGGTTCTGGCCCACTTCCTGCTTTCAAAACAAACCAGAATCACCAGTCTTTATTGTATTGTGAGAGAGAATGTTACATACTAATACAGCCAAAACACCCCAAGTTTTTGGTCAGCTGCATTCGTTCCTGACTTTTTAATATAATAACTAAATTATGAAGCTGTTTACTTTTCTCTTATTTTTCATGGCGACTGGAATAAGAATGTGAGCTTGTGTATAATATCCTGATGTCCTGCAATACCATGATAGCCTGAAGCAGATGTTTTATCAGCATAAAGACTGTTGAGTGTCAGGCGAGATTAAAATAGGCCAAACTGTGCTGTCTAGTCCTCTTTGATGATAGCATCTCCACAAATATCAAATGTTAATAAAGGAAGTGGATGAGAGGAGAGGATGAAGCAGGAGCAAGGTGAGAGAAGGAGAGAGAGAGAAAAAGAGAGAGAGAAAAAGAGAGATCTCCCACTTGCTGTATGATGCAGAGAGAGAGGGAGAAACAGAGAATTCATTGAGATGAACTAGAATTCCTCTAAGGGCTCTTTGGCTAACAGAAACAGATATCATATTTCATTAGCCTCTCCGGGTGATGTGTAACTACAGTGGCTCCTCACTTTTTCACTGTGAGATTACATTAATTTATCCGCTGGATTTCCTCTATTTTCTCCTCCCTCCTTCCCTTCTTCTCACCCCCAACCCTCTCTATCCCTTAATTCCTCTCAACTTTTCTCCTCTTTCTCTCTCTCTCTCATGCTCACACCCACTTTCTATCTCTTCCCCCCCCCCCCCCCCCTCTCTCAACCCTCTCCTTTTCCCTCTCACCCTTTCGCTCTCCCTCGCTCTGTTTCAGACTGGTGTTTATTAATAGCTTTCTGCATGGTTGGAGACAGTTCATTGCTGGGAGATTGAGCCGCTGTGTTATCCCAAACCCAGTGATAAACTATTTTTAATTACACCTTATGAAACAATATTGAAAACTACCGAGCTGTGCCTAATTTTTCCACCCCCTAGCTAGCCACAAACACCCAGCATGTGTGCACACACACACGTATGCATGCACACAGATACACACACCGTCATTCTAGGTGACATGCTACCCTCCAAGTGTATTAACATGCAGGTAAACCACTATCTCTGTTCTATCACTCTATCATACTTTGCTGAATTTCAAGGATACAACCCTATCCATTTTTCTTCACAGAGGAGAAACAATAAGTTAATTTAATAAGGTGAAGTTTTAAGAGCGGTGTGGATGGAAAACTTTGATCCTGGTATCAATAGTCCACTCCTCTACTCTCCTTCTCTTGAGCCTTTCATTCTCAGAATGAAGTGAAGATTCTGAGTGGTTCATTTAGACCTCTCCCACTAACGACCTCATTAGTCCATTTGGTAATTAAGCAATTAACTCCAGATTAGCTATTGATTAATGTTTGCCGTGAATAATGTTTCTCAATGGGATAGTACTGGTTAAATATTAAACCTCTGGTAATGAGAAACTGATTGATTACATCAGCAGATTAATTACAAAAGCACATGTAAATGGTTCATTATCTCGTTAACACACTTGTTCACATGATATAATCTTTTTTTGGTACTAGCCTAATACTATAGGCTAGGTGGCATTTGGGGTTTGTACCTTACGGCTCATCATAATACAGCCGATGACTCATGGGCATGGCTTATCTCGCTGTTGATAATGGTGAGGCGGTGACATGGATTTAATAACTGCAAGACCATGCTCCCATATTTGCCCAATGACTGTCAACTCACTTCAATGGACACCGATGTTGATATAGCTACACTATATATACAAAAGTATGTGGACACCCCATCAAATTTGTGGATTCGGCTATTTCAGCCACACCCATTGCTGACAGGTGCATAAAATCGAACACACAGCCATGCAATCTCCATTGGAAAATGTTGGCAGTAGAATGGCCTTACTGAAGAGCTAAGTGACTTTCAAAGTGGCACCGTCGTAGGATGCCACATTTCCAACAAGTCAATTCGTCAAATGTCTGCCCTGCTAGAGCTGCCACGGTCAACTGTAAATGCTGTTATTCTGAAGTGGAAACGTCTAGGAGCAAGAACGGCTCAGCCAAGCTCACAGAACGGGATTGCCGAGAGCTGGACCGCGTAAAAATCATCTGTCCTCGGTTGCAACACTCACTACCGAGTTGGAGTGGTGTAAAGCTCACTGCCATTGGACTCTGGAGCACCGGAAACGTGTTAATAATAATAATAATAATAATATGCCATTTAGCAGACGCTTTTATCCAAAGCGACTTACAGTCATGCGTGCATAAATTTTTGCGTTCTCTGGAGTGATGAATCACGCTTCACCATCTGGCAGTCCGACGGACGAATCTGGGTTTGGCGGATGCCAGGAGAATGCTATCGGCCCGAATGCATAGTGCCAACAAATAATGGTCTGGGGCTGTTTTTCATGGTTCGGGCTAGGCCCCTTAGTTCCAGTGAAGGGAAATCTTAACGCGACAGCATACAATGACATTCTAGACGATTCTGTGCTTCCAACGTTGTGGCAACAGTTTGGGGAAGGCCCTTTCCTGTTTCAGCATGACAATGCCCCCGTACACAAACTGAAGTCCATGCAGAAAAGGTTTGTTGAGACCGGTGTGGAAGAACTTGACTGGCCTGCACAGAGCCCTGACCTCAACCCCATCGAACACCTTTGGGATGAATTGGTATGCCGAATGCAAGCCAGGCCTAATCGCCCAACATCAGTGCCCGACCTCACTAATGCTCTTGTGGCTGAATGGAAGCAAGTCACCGCAGCAATGTTCCAACATCTAGTGGAAAGTCTTCCCAGAAGAGTGGAGGCTGTTATAGCAGCAAAGGGAGGATCAACTCCATATTAATGCCCATGATTTTGGAATGAGATGTTCGACGAGTAGGTGTCCACATACTTTTGGTTATGTATTGTATATAGATTAAATCTGAATTTAAATGAGGATGGGGATATTATCAATCTCTAACCATTTCCTTTATCTGTGCTGATTGTATTCACTCAGAAGTCCACAGGTTGTTAATTACAGTGGGACAATAATAGAGTATCCTGAAGTAGTCTCTGCTCAGAGGTACAGCAACAACAAAGGGGTATGCATAGGACAAAACTGAATAAGCAAAGATTCAATGCACGTGCACACAGCCCTATTTAGAATAGGTAAGGATCTGGCCCTGCGCTGCGCTCCGGCCGTTGATGTATTGATGCATTTAATCAGTGTGCCATTTCTCCGCCGCGAGGAGTAATCATTTTTCCATTACACTACCTCCGAAGGACGTCCACACACATTTGTTTGGCCTCTTTTGTGTTGTGTTTCTGGGCCACAGCTTTCCTCTGACTAATGTTTTATTTATTTCTTTGATGGATTAAAGGCCCAGCTTTTCTGCTAGGGCCCTGATGCAAAATGTCACCTTCCGCAATCACTGCCTCCCAAACACCCACCCCATCTTGCTAAAGTCTACAAAACACACACACCAGAGCTAACTTTCTGCTTGGATAATTGTGATATATGGGGGAATTAAATGAATTATTATTACAAAAGAAGTGGAGCGAGGAGGGAGGGAGGTAGAGGGTGAAATCAAGCAAAACATTTAAAAAATGCATTGGTCCCTTGTTTTTTTTTATTTTGAACCAGAGTAATAATAGCAATTCATTTCCTTTTTAGAAACAGCAATTTGATTGGGTAAAAGTCAACTTTGACCCTCTCAACACTTTTAAGCTTTCCCAGCAGTAATGCCATAATAAGGAATCTATAGGAGGATCAAAAACTGGGAAATGAAACAGTTCTTGACAACTAAACATTTATATAGATATGTTAAATGAAATGGTTATTGTTGTACTATATTTTTTTTATGAGTTTAGGACTTATTTGAATAGATACTGTACAGAATGTACCGTGAACACTGGGTGTAGGCACTCCTAAAACCACTATGGGGCGACAAATCCACACAACTAATCCAATAAGGCATTGAATAAAATACAAAAATAACTACTAAAATACATTAAAAAGGCAAAAGAAACGCATAATAAAAAATATAAAAAATATGTTGTAAGGGGAACATGCAGTAATTCTTTATTTTCAAGTCCATTATAATCCTTGTTTCAATCGTACAGCAATAATTGTGCAAACACAGACGATTTGACTTGACGACAGTCTTAATAACAGAAACCTTTCTTGACCCTCAACTTCTTCCTCCTTGGTACCCATGCCCTCTTCAAGGAGTGTAGTAATGATCAAACTTACCAAAGCCAGAGGCTTAGGGATGGAGAGACAGGGTGGAGCAGGCAGGCATGATGCTGGGCAATGCTACCTTGTTGTTGTGGTCTCATTCCATAGAGAGCTGAACACTCTCACTCTGGCCTTGGTGCTGCTGCTGGTCAAACTTCCTCGCTGTTAAGAAGGTATAAAGTCCAAATTATAGTCCAAATTATACCAATTTAAACAGTGGGGTTGATTTAGATATTTTAGAAGTGCTCTGTGAGCTACAGTTTATTAGTGAATGACACAGAGCTATTTGATAAACCAGAAATATATTTGAGATCAGTTCCTAATCATGGACAGAAATATAAAGATGTATCTAGAAGAATTGTTCTATGTTAAATATGCATTTGACCACAAGCTCTATCAAAAGTGAGCACAAGCCTAACATTGATTGATGCAGTATTCAACAGCACTAAGACCAGAGCCGGTTCCAGGCATATGCGGTTGCTTGTGGCCCCAAACCCCCCCCCCCCCCCCACACCCAAAAAACGGGGTCTCAACACACATGATGCGACTAACAAATATGGTTGTGCATCAACAATTTTTCTCTTGTTATGTCAGTCACTGACAGTCACTTAATTAGCCATGTCAGCTAACAATGTTTAGATTGGTAGTTAGTCTAGCCAGCTATCTAAATGTGTAGTAATCATGGCCAAATACTGTGCCCAGAGGCCCTGACCTCCAGGGGGTCCCCATTGATTTTGTTATCCATTCTCACTTAAATATCATATTAACATGGAGTAAGTCATTAGAAAATGTGTAGAATTGCAGGGAATGAACTTTAAAAGTTCAATGTTTCCCGCCAATGTCCAGGGGGGGCCACTAAAATGTTTTGCCATGACGTGGGGGGACCCCCAACCAAATCTCGCTTAGGGCACCCAAAAGGCTAGAGCCGGCACTGACAAACTCACCAAGGGAGTACATCTCCAGCTGCTGGCGGAGTCTCACTTTCTGCAGACTGTCGTAGAAGTTGGGTTCGGTCGTGGCTCCAGCGGTGGGGGGCAGAGCGAATATCCTCATGATCTTCCTCTTATTTCTGATGGGAAGAAGAGGAGAAAAGAGAGAGTGAGACCCAACAGTAAACTGTCATTCGTGTGCATTAACTGGCTGGAAGCTTTGTAGCAGCAAATTGTATCAAACACATGTTATTAAGCACACATTTAGTTTAAAAGATTCATATATGTATTAACAGTCGGGCGCAAAATTAATTGGGAGCAAATTACAATGGAGCCTCTTACTTTCTAGCGTACATTAGCAGTCCGAAGCTAAACAGAATGACGAGCAAATAGACATTGGTTGCCTCATTCCACGCCTCGTGCACGGAGTAATCCAAAGATTCCTCGTTCGCCATCACACCATGGCCGCCCATTGCGATCAAACAAATGGTGATGTATGTTTCTATTTGTATAAATGTGTATAAATATAAGACTCAATGTATCAACAATTAGCTGAATACGACTCCTACGATGTAAACAGAAAGCTGTTTCCGGGTCGTATACTAGACGGTGATTGGGTTTTCATCCTCACAAAGACGCTCCCCCGATTACCTTTTTTCAAAACAGGAAGTAAGTTGATATGGCGTGTGGGGGTGTTTGGAAATTAATTCGTCCCTCTAATTTTGTAAGTAGTTGAATCCAGACTTGTTCATTGCGCTGTTCGTTTTTTATTTGTGCTTCTAGCCACGGCATAAACCACATTGCAATGTGCATGGTTGCCTTTCTATCACCTGTCTATTTGCAGTGGAATTGAGTTTATTTAATGTTTATGCAGGCGTCTCTTGGATATGTGGGCAGCAAGTTATCTAGCTAGCTAATGTTATCTGTTGTTGCTACACCGTATTCAAAAGATTAGCCAGTGGGCTATGCTATGGCTGGTTCTGGAGCTGGATTTGTCATAAGCATTTAGGGAAAAGCAGTATCTTTGACTTTGCCATCTATTGTTATCTCCAAAGTTTGGGCATTTTCTATAAATTGCGACTGCAAATCCGCAGAAAAAGAAAGAATATGAAGCTCCAGTAATATGGATAGCCGAACTATTGAACGGTTCGGATACATGCGTTTTTCTACATTGTAATGGACACGGTGCAACCTTTGGCAGTATGTTCGGCTGCGCTACAGCTATGCCAAGTCAGCCCGTGCTCATGCCATGGTTCTCACAGCCATGGGAAGTGAAATGATGGCAGGTAGAAATGCGGTTAGAGCGTTGGGCCAGTAACCGAAAGGTTGCTAGTTCAAAACCCAAGCGGACAAGGTGAAATATCTGTCTATGTGCCCTTGAGCAAGACACTTAACCCTAATTGCTCCAGGGTCGCCGTTGAATGGCAGACCCTGGTTTCAGGGAGCGTGGATATTCAAAAAACACATTTAAAATGCACAGGTGCCTATTAATGCATGTTTGAAATAGGAGAAATACAAGCACCCACCAAATTATTATAGTTATTTATTTGTATTAAGTCATAGGCTACAATGACATTGCTCATGATGCATGCCGCAAATGATATGTAACAACACCTTGAGCACATCAGACACGAAACAAAACAACAATATAAATGTAACAGTACAAAATATGTAGATAAACAAGTTAGTGAAATTTTATTTTGGGTGTACCTTTTCATTACAGGACAGACCAGGGATGGGCATCTTTGATGGGTGTGGGGACCACAAAAAAAGCTGAACTCATCATGAGGGGCCGCAGTGGCTCTTGGTTCTGCAACACACATCCATACCCACACATGCTGTCAGAGCCAGCCCTAGTCTTTTGGAGGCCCTAAGTGAAATGTTGTTGGGGGGCCCCTCCCCACTTTGCGAGCAAAACATTTTAGCCACCCCCTCTTGACAGCAGAGAGATAAAATAGAAGCTTTAGACTTAATTTCCTGTAATTCTACACATTTTGCTATGGGGCATAGAAAATATGTTGCAATTTTAAAGAAAGTTTGGTGCAATTCTACACATTTTGCCATGGAGCAGAGAGAAGATTTTGCAATTCTATAACTCATATCATGCATTTCTACTAATTTTGTCATGGGGCGGTGATAAAAATGTGCAGTTTTCAATAAGATATCTGAGTGACTAATGGGGGGGGGGGGAATTGATCTGCGGGCCTACAAAAAGGGGCAGAGGCCGCCAGTTGCCCATCTCTGGGATAGACACTTGTGATTTCTAGCTGCACCAATCAAAGCAGTGGCGTGTGGTCAAAACCATTAATCTTGGGGGGAGGGGGTTTCCAAAATGCAATCATATCACCTGCAATTTTACCATTTATAAAATGGTTATATATTTTTTTTCTTCTACAGACTAGCTAAAAAAATAAGTGAAACTTGAGAAATTATCCAAAGGATTATGATAATTTGCTGTATTTCTAATAGTTAGCCTAATTTCAATTTATGTGATGGAACAAGCAAGTACAGTGTAGAGAATCATTTTACTATCTAAACCGCTCTGAAATATATTGACCATAACCCAAAATATTGTGTTTTCAGCTGTTTGAAGCTGGTGTTCAAAATGAAACTGAAGAACGGGAAGCATAGAAATACCGCACAGAACAGATCTACCGCTTCTTAGACTTGCTTTCAATGAGAATGACAGATCTATAACACACATTTCTATGTGAATTTGGCCGGGTTGCCCCAAAAAGTTACACCATGGGCATAATCTTTTCAGAAAAAAATTGCACAACACTCCCCAGCTCTGCTTCGTCAACAAAACCATAACAACGGCTGTGGGGCAGACAGTGCCACTGTTTCCCCTACTGCGGATTCCATCTTTAATGGAACACTAACTGATATGCAGTGAAAATAAAGGATATATATATTTTAAAGATTTAAATGAATACTCTTTCACATATCTACACAGATATGACTCGGCTCTCTACTTATATCGATTCTGATCGAGACATAATTGTACACGCATACTGTAGTATGTAATTCAACCACTAGGGGGAAGTGTACCTCTATATTTGATCAACAGGACACCTAAATAAATCACGGCTTTAAAAAGAGACTGTTCCAGGTCTATAAGATGATCAGAACCATTTCACTACTGAAAGAGCAGAACAGTGAGGAAGTGTAACAATTGCTGCATTCTCCCAGGGAAATGAGAACCAGAGGTACACGAGTAGTACTAGTACACGAGTAGTACTGTTGTATGGTGAGGAATGGCTCTGGAATACTCTATAGTCTGATCAGCAGTGTAGGTCTACAGGAGCAGCCAGTCCCCTCCCACAAGGCCGGTAAGCCAGTGAGGTATGGCGTGGGAGCAGAGCACCGTACCACTCGCTGCTTTTGTTTAATCTCATCACACGCCCGTTGGGTAATGTTCCTCCAGCCCACTGACGTCAGACAAGACACGTGTGTTTGTGTGTGTGTGTGTTAGCCCACATCACACCCATGAGGGACCAGCTCAGCAAAGGGTGTTTAGACGCCTGCTATCACAGAAATGACAGGGAGGGGAAAATAGTCGGTAGGGAGGGAGTGATTTTAAAAGGGGCCTCGAGTTAGGCCTGTGTCCTGAATGGGTAATTGTGATTTTAGCCATACCTTGATCGATTCATTCCTTTTGGGGGACGATGTGAGTCAAGTCCCTGTGCATGTCTGTGGTCTCTGCGGTTTAGTTGTGTGTGTGCTTGATGCCTTGTTTATTTTCAGAGACACTACTTTTAATTTTGTCTCATCTGCACCTGCTGCCACATCCAGTTACCTAAGGTGAGGAAAGACCAAAGAGGCTTGTGTGTCTTCCAGCTCCAATCACCTCAAAATGTTTGTACTGAAATGTTCTCCTCTGTAAATGCAACTCAGTACCACTGGTGGTCAATGCTTCATACTATTATTACCAACTCTATCCTATGTGTCCTATCACTCAAGATCAAATGACTGGATAGGAGGGAGATGTATTATACCAGTTATATAGTAGCAAAAGAAAATCCCTCCGGTTCACAGCTAGACTCTAAAAACTGCTTGAAAGGGGACTGTTCAGAGTTCACTCTTGGACGCCTTCCATTTATGTTATATGTCGCACACAGGAGATGGCCATTCCCAGATTTAGGATCATAAATTGAGCCAGTTTGCTACAGGAAAATAATCATTTAGCAACAGGAAATGTGGATTATAGTTAATGGCCATTTTTGTAGGAGTTGATACATTTTCATGAGGGCTAATCAAGTTTGTAATTTCCAATTTGAAATTTCTATCTATAGAAGCTTTTTAAAAACTCAAATACACTACAAGTTTGCAAGTTCCCATATTCCCTCTTCAATTTAGTTATTACAAACCGTATCTGACTCATGACCAAGGACATGAGTGGATACTGATTTATGTCATACTGTAAGCAGACACTATTGTCCCTCAGGGCAGAGGTTTGGCCCCGGCCTGCAGTGAAACCCTCAATTTAATGTGTTTCTCCATCCACTGACAGCCAGTATAAAACAATGCAGCCATCATGGCGACACGCGGTCGATGGATCAATAGCCTTTATCCACAGGCCCAGAGTCAGGGTGAGAGGGGCGACAGACAGGGGAGCCATGGGGTTGACTGTCTTCATTCTCCTGAGGAAGATAAAACTACTGGATGATTACACACGTCGATGGGGCCACTCTACGAGGCAGAGAGAAGGAAAGAGGAGATCAAACTATCAGCAGTGCAGTGTAGACACAGATCACCTCCTCTCCTCAGTGAGTCTGTCTGACAGACAGGGCCATGGTACGGTAAGCGACAGTGGCAGATCAGTACTGCCTCCGTTGCAGGAGCGACTGAAAATGTTCCCTTGAGAAGGGGTGAGCTTGTGGGTCATGTCATGGTAGATCTGTGTGGTTGATTGTGATGCTGCCTGCTGGCCAGGGCTCCTTGTAAAATCGATCTCAATAGGTCTTACCTTGATAAATGTATTTAATACAGAACATTTGAGAAATCCGGAGCCAACTGATCTTTTTAACAGATACGATGTTTTTGGATTTAATTAAATTCTAGTTCTGGGATGTCCGTTCCCTATTCCTCTCTGTGAGTGTGTGACCTGCCCGGAGACCCAGTAGACTGGAGCTACCCTCAGAGTTAGAACAGAAGTGTTTTTCGGAGTGCTTTTGTTATGCCTCTCCGGGGGTTCTGGGCCTTGTCTGTTCTCATTTAAGGATGGAACTTTTAGTCTCTTTGGACAACTCTCACACTTTCTTTCTTTGGTAGAGGTGGTGAGGAGGAGGACAGGGTTTTGGGGGGGGGTGCTACTAAAATTGAGAACAAAAACCCTCTCCATTCTGTCCCAAGGTTTTAAACTCTGTTAGCTTGGCGTTTTTGCTTGTGTTAGTTTTTGGTTTTACTGTGAGACTGTGTTATTGTGTCCCGCCCACCCCTGATCAGGGCAGACAGGCAGGCAGATAGACAGGGACACAGGCAGGCAGGCAGGCAGGGACAAGCCTCTAAGGGATATCAGGGCTGACAACCAGAGAGGTTCCAACAAGCATACCATCCTGTATACAGTGTAAACACACACATTCTGCAGAGACATTGCCCAGATTGGTCTGTGAGCAATAACAATTCAGGTCATTTGCACCAGTAGGTAATTTCATGTGGAAAAGAGAACTTGACAGAAGCCTACCTGTTTTCTGTCTGAGAAAGCATTCCAAAAGGGTACACAACATAGCTGTAGCTACATGTACCAGGTCAGCTGTTTCAGTCAGGGGTTAACACTGTCAGGAGAGGAATCAACCCAGGAGTGTTTTCTAAAATGGCCCAGAGTGTTAATCCAAATGCACATCCACAGTTGCCCTAATTCAGATCTGTGTACAGCCAGTGTGCGTGTGTGTGTGTCTCTGTGTCTCATGGCTGCTGCGCTTAGAGAGAGGGCTGTGTAAAGCCCAGCATGTCATTCCATTAGAGTGCTACTCCTGCTGTTGAAGCTGACTGTCTGCCACAGTGAACGACACAGTAGGTATGGCCATATGACATTATGCAGACCACAGATTACTACCAAATATTTTTATAACTAAACCAAGATAGACCACAGCCTGTCGTTTCCAATGGGAACAAGTGAGTCATAGTGGCCAGAACAAGCAAGGAGGTGAGCAGATCCAAGCACGAGCTAGCGAGATCCTATTGGCGTGTTCTAGCATCATCTGTATTTTCTGTTAGGGAATGCCTACTATGTGAAGTGCACTTGTGCAATAACTCCATTCGCCTTTGTGCACCTTCTAAACAACGCAATTTTTAAAAACTTTTGGAAAGGGCAAAGTCTACATAACTTAGTGTTCTTAACAGATTTTAGTTTTGGGAACAGAAAACTGTATTGAGATCAAATGTTTCATCGATGAGAACATTTGCAGAATATCGGCCAAAATCCATCTCGTTCCATCTTCTCCCATTGCCGACCAGTGGGCTTCCTCTCACCACCATATTTGGTAGTGAGTGGAAACGCCAAGCGGATGCTTCACATTTATACATCTGGTGAAATATCTGTCTCATTGTTCTATCTGTGTTACTACTATGGCCGGGTGTAATTTTCATCTGAACACAAAGGATTCGGGCTTGGCTGCCAAACACAACTCCCTGTAGATCTAGTTATAGCATTAGATGTGTGTTACATAAAACCATATGGACGTAAAGTGCATAGAAACATAAATCAACCAATATAATTAGTGTCATGTCTGTGCACAGGGGATTTCCTGCTCACCTGCGATGACCTCCTATCCTGTTTAGTTGATCTCAGCATCCAGAATGTGTTGTATGTAATGTAATGTATATTACAGTCTCCTCTGGCCCAGTGGGAGGTGTCAGGGACCCTGGCCTGCATGAGTATGAGTCCCTACCCATCCCTGGTTCTCTGTCGTCTCCCATATCAAGTCTTCATTTACCTTCCTATTTCTTCTGCCGTCTACATGGTGGTCAGGGATGGTTTAATGGTAGGTAAGTCATTATGTTCGGGAATGTGAGACTTCCATGGCAACCATTACTGGTGACAATCACAGGAAATTACAGGTGTGTTCTGGTCTAGACACATTCAAATTCAAAGGTCGATCTCAGACCGCACATAAATCCATGTCTCAGACAAATGTAAATTATTTATGAGTGAACATTGAAATATGCAAAACAAGCATCCACAACAGTTGACAGCTTCTTACTTTTCTTACTCTCTCTCTCTGCTCACTGTATGTGTAGGACTGCTCTGTTGGAGGTTAGACGTCAGTGTTTCACACTGATTTACACACTGCTATACACACACACACACCAACCTGGTCTAGAAGAGAGGGAGAGAGAGTGAGGTCTGTGAAGAGGGTCTTAATGTGTATGCGATGGGGTGAGAGAGTGGGGTGTGTGTGATGCTCTGTCAGGGTGAGAGGACTGGACAGACGTTGGAGCAATGGGAGGCTGGGGGGCTGCACTCATCTCACACCTGGCTGAGCCTGCAGCACCCTCAGTGGTTTTTACTGTGTGTCCTCGAGGGAGAAAGGTTCCAAACGGGTTCTTCGGCTGTCCCCATAGGATAACCCTTTTTGGTTCCAGGTAGAACCGTCTGTGGAAATGGTTCTCCTATGGGGACAGCCGAAGAACCCTTTTAGGTTCTAGATAGCATATATTTTTTTCTAAGGAAGGGATAGGTTGGTGTGGGAGCAGCAGGGGGCAAAGAAGACTAACAGAAATGAGAGGATTTGTTTACTATGCCAAGCCAATCACAAGCCATCAGTCACTGATGGAGCTATCCATTAAATATTCACCAGAACACCACCCATACAAACATCAGATATCATACTTACTCAGTACATAAACATTATTAAAAACATATGAACTACTCTTCAAAAATGAAATGTACCTAATTGGAATTTCAATCGAACTTGCTCTTTTATCTGATATGAAGAAGCCTTTTTCCAACGCAGGCATTAATATTCCATCGTTAGTTCCAGAATTTGCCAAACCATGAATAATAAACATGTGGATGTCATTTGACTGCATTTTCCCCGTATTGCAGACAACCTTAGTTTTGGTACAGTGTTCAGGGCAATTTGTACGCTGAGGTGGGATGGAGGGAGTTTGCGGTAGTTCTCACTCTCGCTCTCTCTTACTTTCCCGTCCTATCTCACACACACACACACCTCCATTTCCACTATTTGTCTCATAACTTATATCTGCCGACCCAGCACTTTACCAGGTATAGAGGTCTCTACCATATTGTACCCTGGAATGAAATTGAATTAAATTTCAAACGCATTATTATTTTATACAGTTGTATTGCTTTACCCATTTTAGTCATTTAGCAGACGCTCTTATCCAGAGCGACTTACAGTTAGTGAGTGCATAATTTAATTTTTTTCATACTGGTCCCCCGTGGGAAATGAACCCACAACCCTGGCGTTGCAAACGCCATGCTCTACCAACTGAGCTACACGGGACTAGCACCCCTAGTGCTTCAGCATCTCTCTTCTGACTGAATTCTAAATCAAATCAAATGTTATTTGTCACATGCTTCATAAACAGCAGGTGTAGGACTAACAGTGAAATGCTTACTTATGGCCCCTTCCCAACAATGCAGAAAAATAAATGAAAAATAATAACACAATGAGTTACAATAACTTGGCTATATACAGGGAGTACCAGTACTGAGTCGATGTGCAGGGGTATGAGGTAATTGAGGTAGATATGTGTGTGTGTATATGTAGGTAAGGATAAAGTGATTAGGCAACAGGATAGATAATAAACAGTAGCAGCAATTTATGTGATGAGTCAAGAGTTAGTGCAAAAAGGTCAATGCAGATAGTCCGGGTAGCTATTGGTTAACTATTTAAATAACTATTTAGCAGTCTTATGGCTTGGGGATAGAAGCTGTTCAGGGTCCTGTTGGTTCCAGACTTGGTGCATCAGTACCGCTTGCTGTGCGGTAGCAGAGAGAACAGTATGGGTGGCTGGAGTCTGACAATTTTAGGGCCTTCTTCTGACACCGCCTTTTGACACCATGATCTTATGCAGTCTCGTATCACACAATCACAGTCTGGTCACACATGGTCATATGGTGGTCTCATGCGGTCCCCAGCATGTGATATCAACACAGGAAGGAGGGAGAGTGGATGGGTGGGAAGGAGGGTGCTTCATACACTCAGAAAAAAGGGTCCCAAACTGGTTCTTCAGCTGTCCCCATAGGGTAACCCTTTTTGGTTCTAGGTAGAACCCTTTTTGGTTCCAGGCAGAACCCCTTTTGGTCCCAGGTAGAACCCTCTGTGGAAATGGTTCTACATGGAACCCAAAAGGGTTCTACCTGGAACCAAAACGTGTTCTCCTATAAAACCCTTTTTAGGTTCTCGGTAGCACCTTTTTTTTCCCCCTAAGGGAGGGATAGGTTGGGTGGGAGCAGCTGGGGGTAAAGAGCAACAGATGAGATAATTTGTTTGCTATGCCAGGCCAATCACAAGCCATCATTCACTGATGGAGCTAGCCATGAAACATTCTCCAGAACACCACCCATATAAACATCAGATATCGTACTTACTCAGTACATAAACATGATTAAAAACATATGAACTACTCTTAAAAAGGCAATTTACCTAATTGGAATTTCAATCAAACTTGCTCTTTTATCTGATGTGAAGGAGCCTTTTTCCAACGCAGGCATTAATGTTCCATCGTCAGTTCCAGAATTAGTCAAACCATGAAAAATAAACATGTTTCTCCCTTCTGTTTGAATCTTTTGCATATAATTTGGCTGCGTTATCCCTGTTTTGCAGTCAACCTTAGTTTTGGTACAGTGGTCAGTACAATTTGTACGCTGAGGTGGCTGGAGGGAGTTTGTGGTAGTTCTCGCTCTTCCCTCTCTCTATCTCACTTTCCTATCTCTGTCTCAAACATACACCTCCATTTCCACTATTTTCCTCATAACTTATATCTGCCAACTCAGCACTTTACCAGGTATAGAGGTCTCTACCATATTGTACCCTGGAGCAGGGGCGGTGTGTTCATTAGGGCGATATGGGCGACGCACTGCCAAATGGGAAAAGGAAGGGATTTTTTTTCTAATCAATTATATCACGGCAACAGTAGTTTTCAGTGTTCTAATCTAGACGTCTGATCTGCCACTAAATGTCCAATCAGGCTAAAGTCGTGCTTCAAATGGCCCCGCCCCTTTTGGGGCGATTTCAGTCAGGTTGAAAATCGCCCAGGAGTCTCTCATAGACTATCATGTAAAATATTTTTTTTTTCAAATATCAGAGCTTTCAATACAATCTCTATGGGTTCCGGGAGGGCTTGCACTTACGCGCTTTCGTCATACGTAACATAAGTAACCATGAACATAACTAAGAAAAGAGCGGGTAGCAGCGTCAATCAATTCACGTACAACTGTCAAGATGGCTAGCTTTGCGAGGCAAAGATGAAACTGAGGGCTCCACCAACCCTGGTATTTTTCTTGGACTTGTCAACTTTGTGGCACAATTAGATGAGGTGTTTGATGACCATCTTAAAAATGCTAAAGTTTTCAAGGGCACATCAAAGACCATTCAAAACGAGCTACTGGAGTGTATGCTAGCGGTCATGAGGGAACATATTGTGGAGGAGGTGAAGTCGGCGAACTTCGTAGCTATCCAAGCTGACGAGACCACGGACGTTTCTACACAGACACAGCTGGTGCTTGTGCTGAGGTACATAGATAGCAACCACAAAGTGCATGAGCGCTTTTTTGAGTTCCTTCCCATCTCGGAATCAACCTCAGTCTCAATCGCCAGTGTGCTTTTGGAGAGACTGAACGGTCTTTTTGCCGACGACGAGAAAGTCAAACTCATTGCGCAAGCTTACGATGGAGCCAGTGTGAGGGGAGAGAAGGCTGGTGTGCAGCAAAAGGTGCGTAAGCATTTCAAGAATGCCCATTACGTGCATTGCTATGCGCATCAGCTGAATTTGATCATACAGCAAGCTAGAACAGTTTCAGTACAAGTAATGTAGCCTCTCTCTCTCTTTGTCCCTCCCTGTCTGTCTCTTTAACACACACACGCCCAAATCAGTTCACAGTTGATGTTGTTTAAAATAGTTATTTTTCATTTTTTAAAAAGTAAAAAAAAAAAAAATATCTGTTCATGTTCATTTTTACAAATCTATACAATTGGCCAGAATATGGTTGTTCATTTTTACAAAGCCATACAGATAGCTGTGTTTACCTTTTCTAGAAATTATTTTCAAATTCTGTTTTCAGGCAAAATTTCTATCACTGTTCATTTTCACAAATCTATACAAGAGGGCAGAATATGGAAGTCTATAAAAATTTCTTATTACCAATAACTTGCATCAATATTTTCAGTAGCCTCTATCAAAAGCTCCTGCTTGCTTGTTGTGAATTATGCTCAGGTGCACATATTTCCTATTCAACCATGAGGCCTTTTTGAAGCAAGTAATGTGTATATCAGTATTGACTTATATGCTGCCCCTGTCTTCATGTTGTTACATTTACATTTACGTCATTTAGCAGACGCTCTTATCCAGAGCGACTTACAGTTAGCGCATACATTATTTTATCGAACCCACAACCCTGGCGTTGCAAACGCCATGCTCTACCAACTGAGCTACATCCCCTGCCGGCCATTCCCTCCCCTACCCTGGACGACGCTGGGCCAATTGTGCGCCGCCCCATGGGTCTCTTTTGCTGGACATATCTTTTTTAAAATGTGTGTAGGTCACCTAAATCATCAGAAAAATTGCCCCCCCTGAGAATTTTTTCAGGAGCCGCCACTGCCCTGGAGTGAAATTGAATTGGATTTCAAAAGCATTACTCTTTTATACAGTTGTATTGCTTTACCCCTTCAGCCAGGGGCACAACTTTCGCTGGGGACGGGGGACGGGGGGGGGTCTTGTCCGCCCCACATTCTGAAATTGCATTTATGTCCTAGCTAATTCCCTGCTTTTCACACTGACACAGTAATAAACAGCTCTACTCTTACAGGCTTCATATGGCCCTTTTATTGTATTACCGGGCTATATCAGCCAATATGCTAGATGTAGTTTGAAGAGAGCAGGGTTGGAGAGACTTGCACTTTCTCTTGAGAAATGTTTATAGCCTACCTTTTAGGACTGGGAAGATTTTCAGACTGAGAAATATGGGTGATCAATATCTAGGCCTATTTCTAGGCAATGTAGTAAACTATAGCCTAATCATAGGCCTATTTAGGAAGTACATTTCCTTGGAAAGATAACTGCCCCGCGCATCTCCACCCATGCATAGGCTATAGCCTACTCTATTTAATTAAGACCACACACGCACCTGATCTCACAGGTATGGCTACTGAACTGGAAGCAGCAACAATGATGACAGCGACACTTACTACGTTTTGCATAGTCCTATAGGTTATAGCCTACCTTTTAGGAGGACGATTTGCAGGCAGAGACAAATAAATGGGTAATCAATACTTTTGAAAATGAAAAGGCGCAACGCTCGCTCACGATAGTATCCTAACCTGCAGTGGCTTGTGAAAGTATTCACCCCCCTTGGCATTTTTCCTATTTTGTTGCCTTACAACCTGATTTTTGGGGGGGTTGTATCATTTGATTTACACAACATGCCTACCACTTTGAAGATGCTAAATCTTTTTTCTTGTGAAACAAACAAGAAATAAGACAAAAAAACAGAACTTGAGCGTGCATAACTATTCACCCCCCCAAAGTCAATAATTTGTAGAGCCACCTTTGGCAGCAATTACAGCTGCAAGTCTCTTCGGGTATGTCTCTATAAACTTGGCACATCTAGCCACTGGGATGTTTGCCCATTCTTCAAGGCAACACTGCTCCAGCAATCTTTAAGTCATACCACAGATTCTCAATTGGATTGACGTCTGGGCTTTGACTAGGCCATTCCAAGACATTTAAATGTTTCCCCTTAAACCACTCGAGTGTTGCTTTAGCAGTATGCTTAGGGTCATTGTCCTGCTGGAAGGTGAACCTCCGTCCCAGTCTCAAATCTCTGGAAGACTGAAACAGGTTTCCCTCAAGAATTTCCCTGTATTTAGCGCCATCCATCATTCCTTCAATTCTGACCAGTTTCCCAGTCCCTGCCGATGGAAAAACATCCCCACAGCATGATGCTGCCACCACCATGCTTCACTGTGGGGATGGTGTTCTCGGGGTGATGAGAGGTGTTGGATTTGCGCCAGACATAGCGTTTTCCTTGATGGCCAAAAAGCTCAATTTTAGTCTCATCTGACCAGAGTACCTTCTTCCATATGTTTGGGGAGTCTCCCACATGCCTTTTGGCGAACACCAAACGTGTTTGCTTATTTTTTTCTTTAAGCAATGGCTTTTTTCTGGCCACTTCTGTAAAGCCCAGCTCTGTGGAGTGTACGGCTTAAAGTGGTCCTATGGACAGATACTCCAATCTCCGCTGTGGAGCTTTGCAGCTCCTTCAGGGTTATATTTGGTCTCTTTGTTGCCTCTCTGATTAATGCCCTCCTTGCCTGGTCTGTGAGTTTTGGTGGGCGGCCCTCACTTGGCAGGTTTGTGGTGGTGCCATATTCTTTCAATTTTTTAATAATGGATTTAATGGTGCTCCGTGGGATGTTCAAAGTTTCAGATCTTTTTTTTATAACCCAACCCTGATCTGTACTTCTCTACAACTTTGTCCCTGACCTGTTTGGAGAGCTTCTTGGTCTTCATGGTGCCGCTTGCTTGGTGGTGCCCCTTGCTTAGTGGTGTTGCAGACTCTGGGGCCTTTCAGAACAGGTGTGTATATATACTGAGATCATGTGACAGATCATGTGATACTTAAATAAAGTCTACCTGTGTGCAATCTAACTAATTATGTGACTTCTGAAGGTAATTGGTTGCACCAGATCTTATTTAGGGGCTTCATAGCAAAGGGGGTGAATCCATATGCACGCACCATTTTTCCGTTCTTTCTTTTTTTTTTTGAATTTTATGAAACAAGTTCTTTTTTTCATTTCACTTCACCAATTTGGACTATTTTGTGTATGTCCATTACATGAAATCCAAATAAAAATCCATTTAAATTACAGGTTGTAATGCAACAAAATAGGAAAAACGCCAAGGGGGATGAATACTTTTGCAAGGCACTGTAAGTGCGCGTTGTGCCTGTTCCTTTTCAATGATGACGTTTTGATTGCACTTCGGCTCACTAAATGACTAAAATTGTAAAATGCTTAATTACAAATAACACTGTCATAAATGTAATTAATGTAAGGAAAGAATGGTAGTGTTGTATGTCATGCAATCTGTGAAGACTCCAAGCAATAACTCATGAATTATGGTGTAAAACTTTAACTCATGTATTATATTGAATATAGGCTACCTGTTCTGTTTGTGTGTGTGTGTTGTCCACGCTCATCCTGCTCAGCCACAATCAGCCGTGGAAGATTTCTAATTAGATGGGGAGGGATGTCATGTCATGCAAAATTTTCAGCAGCGGCTAGTTTATGTGATAATCAATATGTACCTCATTAACTTCAGCTGCAAGCAAGGCGTGTGTGTGTACTGTTTAAATAGGACTGACAGATCTGCACTCGAATAAACTGTTATTATCTGTCTCTCTTCTTTATCATCTAACTCTGTATCTTCCTCACTCCCCCTCTCCCTTTCGCTCTCTTCCTTTCATATACATGCCTTCTCTCTCTCTCTCTCTCTCTCATAACTGTGGGAAGCAGGCCTCTGCTAATAGCGGAGGTAAACAAAGATAGGCTGCGGTATACACAAACAAACAAACAAACACTACACAACACACAAATGTCCCTGGACTGCTCCACATTCTCATCTGCTCTCACACTCTCTTTGTCTCTGTCTGTCTCTGTCTGAAGTACTTAGAGCTGGGGTAATCTGTCTGGCACAGGGATTAACCCCACATAAGAAGGAGTCTGTCTGTCTCTGAGCCAAAAAGCATTGGCCATTATTACAATGAAATGGACACAAACAAACACACACACACACAGACTGGCCAGATGCATGTCATATGGGGCACCGTCTACAATAAACGCACTTGAAGTGTGTGTGTTCATCTACAGACCTGTATTACATCATCAGGTGTGTGTGCAGACGCTAGCACGTTCATGTCACATGGGCCCTCGTCTACAAAAAATGCACTTCATTTATATTTTACATTTGAGTCATTTAACAGACTTACAGTTAGTGCATTCATCTTAAGATGACAACAACCACTCTCAGTCATAGTAAGTAAATATTTCCTCCATAAAGTAGCTATCATTAGTTCATTTCACTTCATTAGTATCAGTTGTGTGTGTGTGTGAGACACTAGGGCGGCAGGTAGTTTAGTGGTTAAGAGCGTTGTGCTAGTAATCGAAAGGTTGCTGGTTCTAATCCCCGAGCCGACTAGGTGAAAAATCTGTCGATGTGCCCTTGAGCAAGGCACTTAACCCAAATTGCTCCTGTAAGTCAAGGTTTTGAAGTGTCTGTCCTAAATCTAAGAGATAGATGCACTGAAATGAAAGCAACTTCCGAAATTGAACACTCGGATTATAGGGATATTATGTCTGATCTCACAAACAATGAAGACCGATTTTCGGGATGTCTCATGGTCTGACAAACACCACTCCTAGCTCTGCGAAGTGCGACACTGGCGGATGCAGTGGATTGAGACGCATCCAATGCAAGAAATATCTCTAGCTTAAACTGAATGATTTTGATGGGGATTTTTTAAAATGTAACTTTGATTGATGCACAATGTCAATTGACTCTAGGGGGTTAATTAAACTTTGGATGGTATATCAATACAACCAGTCATTACAAAGATACAGGCGTCCTTCCTAACTCAGGTGCCGGAGAGGAAGGAAACTGCTCAGGGATTTCACCATGAGGCCAATGGTGACTTTGAAGCAGTTAGAATTTAATGGCTGTGATAGGAGAAAACAGAGGCTGAATCAACAACATTGTAGTTACTCCACAATACTAACCTAAATGACAGAGTGAAATAGGAAGCCTTTACAGAATAAGAATATTCAAAACAAATGCATCCAGTTTGCAATAAGGCACTCAAGTAAAACTGCATGAAATGTGGCAAAGAAATTAACTTTATGTCCTGAATACAAAGCGTTAAGTCTGGGGCAAATCCAACACATCACTGAGTACCACTCTTCATATTTTCAAGCATGGTGGTGGCTACATCATGTTATGGGTATACGGCAAGGACTATGGAGTTTTTTTAGGATAAAAATAAATGGAATAGAGCTAAGCACAGGCAAAATCCTAGAGGAAAACCTGGTTCAGTCTGCTTTCCAACAGACACTAGGAGACAAATTCCCCTTTCAGCAGGACAATAACCTAAAACACAAGGCCAAATATACACTGAAGTTGCTTACCAAGACGACATTGAATGTTCCTGAGTGGCCTAGTTACAGTTTTGACTTAAATCGGCTTGAAAATCTATGACAATACTTGAAAATGGCTGTCTAGCAATGATCAACAACCGACTTGACAGAGCTTGAAGAATTTTAAGAAGAATAATGTGCAAATATTGTACAATCCAGGTATACAAAGCTCTTAGAGACTCACAGCTGTAATCGCTGCCAAAGGTGATTCTAACATGTTTTGACTCAGGAGTGTGACTACATATGTAAATTAGATATTTCTGTATTTCATTTTCAATACATTTGCAAAGATTTCTATAAACATGTTTTCACATTGTCATTATGGGGTATTGTGTGTAGATGGGTGAGAATATAAAATCTATTTAATCCATTTTGAATTCAGGCTGTAACCCAACAAAATGTGGAATATGTCAAGTGGTATGAATACTTTCTGAAGGCACTGTACATTGTCCTTCTATTGCATCTATAAGAATGCTAAAGCGTCGTCTGGGATTTAACGCGTCGTCTTGACACACAAGAAAGAGAAGATAACACCCATCAAAATAAAGTTAACTTTTTTCAATTCCACAAAATATTATAATTTAATACAGTTGAAATGTTTACAAAGGAGTTGCGCTGAAATGAAAGAAACTTCAGAAAATTAACACTCGCATTATAGTAATATTATTTCTGATCTGAAAAACGATGTAAAGTATGTATAGATAGGTATAATCTAGAGCCAAGTGTGTTGATCTTTAATCCGAGGGTATTCTGCTATTGACACTTGTTGAATTATGCAACAGAGTGACAACAACAGTAATTAATGAGGCAGTCTAGAGAGCGCAGGTGAGTGCAGGTAGGCCTAGACATAGCAAGTGTTTGGTGGTTGCAGCCCTGTTTCACCCCTTTATGTTAATGTATTCATATGTGAAAATAACACACATTGTATTTATGCAAATGAGGCACAAAACTAATTTAAAAAACCAGATACTATTAGAACATTTACATTTTACATTTACGTCATTTAGCAGACGCTCTTATCCAGAGCGACTTACAAATTGGTGCATTCACCTTATAGCCAGTGGGATAACCACTTTACAATATGTTTATTTTTTATTTTTTGGGTGGGGTAAGGGGGGGTAGAAGGATTACTTTATCCTATCCCAGGTATTCCTTAAAGAGGTGGGGTTTCAAGTGTCTCCGGAAGGTGGTGAGTGACTCCGCTGTCCTGGCGTCGTGAGGGAGCTTGTTCCACCATTGGGGTGCCAGAGCAGCGAACAGTTTTGACTGGGCTGAGCGGGAACTTTGCTTCCGCAGAGGTAGGGGGGCCAGCTGGCCAGAGGTGGATGAACGCAATGCCCTCGTTTGGGTGTAGGGACTGATCAGAGCCTGAAGGTACGGAGGTGCCGTTCCCCTCACAGCTCCGTAGGCAAGCACCATGGTCTTGTAGCAGAAGCAAGCTTCAACTGGAAGCCAGTGGAGTGTGCGGAGGAGCGGGGTGACGTGAGAGAACGTGGGAAGGTTGAACACCAGACGGGCTGCGGCGTTCTGGATGAGTTGTAGGGGTTTAATGGCACAGGCAGGGAGCCCAGCCAACAGCGAGTTGCAGTAATCCAGACGGGAGATGACAAGTGCCTGGATTAGGACCTGTGCCGCTTCCTGTGTAAGGCAGGGTCGTACTCTCCGAATGCTGTAGAGCATGAACCTACAGGATCAGGTCACCGCCTTGATGTTAGCGGAGAACGACAGGGTGTTGTCCAGGTTCACGCCAAGGCTCTTCGCACTCTGGGAGGAGGACACAACGGAGTTGTCAACCGTGATGGCGAGATCATGGAACGGGCAGTCCTTCCCCGGGAGGAAGAGCAGCTCCGTCTTGCTGAGGTTCAGCTTGAGGTTCAGCTTGAGGTGGTCCACACTGATATGTCTGCCAGACATGCAGAGATGCGATTCGCCACCTGGTTATCAGAAGGGGGAAAGGAGAAGATTAGTTGTGTGTCGTCTGCGTAGCAATGATAGGAGAGGCCAGGTGAGGATATGACAGAGCCAAGTGACTTGGTGTATAGCGAGAATAGGAGAGGGCCTAGAACTGAGCCCTGGGGGACACCAGTGGTGAGAGCACGTGGTGCGGAGACAGATTCTCGCCACACCACTTGGTAGGAGCGACCGGTCAAGTAGGACGCAATCCAAGAGTGAGCCGCGCCGGAGATACCCAACTCGGAGAGGGTGGAGAGGAGGATCTGATGGTTCACAGTATCAAAGGCAGCAGACAGGTCTAGAAGGACAAGAGCAGAGGAGAGAGAGTTAGCTTTAGCAGTGTGGAGAGCCTCCGTGACACAGAGAAGAGCAGTCTCAGTTGAATGACCAGTCTTGAAACCTGACTGGTTTGGTTCAAGAAGGTCATTCTGAGAGAGATAGCAAGAGAGTTGGCTAAAGACGGCACGCTCAAGAGTTTTGGAGAGAAAAGAAAGAAGGGATACTGGTCTGTAGTTGTTGACATCAGAGGGATCGAGTGTTGGTTTTTTGAGAAGGGGTGCAACTCTCGCTCTCTTGAAGACGGAAGGGACATAGCCAGCGGTCAAGGATGAGTTGATGAGCGAGGTGAGGTAAGGGAGAAGGTCACCGGAGATGGTCTGGAGAAGAGAGGAGGGGATAGGGTCAAGCGGGCAGGTTGTTGGGCGGCCGGCCGGCCGTCACAAGTCGCAAGATTTCATCTGGAGAGAGAGGGGAGAATGAAGTCAAAGCATAGGGTAGGGCAGTGTAAGCAGGACCAGCAGTGTCATTTGACTTAACAAACAAGGATCGGATGTCGTCAACCTTCTTTTCAAAATGGTTGACGAAGTCATCCACAGAGAGGGAGGGGGGGGGGGGGGTTTAGAGGCAGATGCTTGGAATTTAGAGTGGTACAAAGTGGCTTTAGCAGCAGAAACAGATGAAGAAAATGTAGAGAGGAGGGAGTGAAAAGATGCCAGGTCCGCAGGGAGTCTAGTTTTCCTCCATTTCCACTCGGCTGCCCGGAGCCCTGTTCTGTGAGCTCGCAATGAGTCGTCAAGCCACGGAGCAGGAGGGGAGGACCGAGCCGGCCGGGAGGATAGGGGACATAGAGAGTCAAAGGATGCAGAAAGGGAGGAGAGGAGGGTTGAGGAGGCAGAATCAGGAGATTGGAGGGAGAAGGATTGAGCAGAGGGAAGAGATGATAGGATGGAAGAGGAGAGAGTAGCGGGAGAGAGAGAGCGAAGGTTGCGACGGCGCATTACCATCTGAGTAGGGGCAGAGTGAGTAGTGTTGGAGGAGAGCGAGAGAGAAAAGGATAAAAAGTAGTGGTCGGAGACACGGAGGGGAGTGGCAGTGAGATTAGTAGAAGAACAGCATCTAGTAAAGATGAGGTCAAGTGTATTGCCTGCCTTGTGAGTAGGGGGGGACGGTGAGAGGGTGAGGTCAAAAGAGGAGAGGAGTGGAAAGAAGGAGGCAGAGAGAAATGAGTCAAAGGTAGACGTAGGGAGGTTGAAGTCACCCAGAACTGTGAGGGGTGAGCCACCCTCAGGAAAGGAACTTATCAAGGCGTCAAGCTCATTGATGAACTCTCCAAGGGAACCTGGAGGGCGATAAATGACAAGGATGTTAAGCTTGAATGGGCTAGTGACTGTGACAGCATGGACTTCAAATTAAGGAGATAGACAGATGGGTCAGGGGAAAAAGAGAGAATGTCCACTTGGGAGAGATGGGGATTCCTGTGCCACCACCCTGCTGACCAGATGCTCTCGGGGTATGCGAGAACACATGGTCAGACGAAGAGAGAGCTGTATATATGACTGCATTCTAAGAAAAAAAAAGTGAAATTTGACAAATTGAATACCTGAATTCCCACCAGAATCACTGAACTCCATTCATTATTTGTCTGTGCAAGTAAAAATGTGTATGTTCAATAATTCAGTCAATGTCTGAAGGATAAAAACAATTCAAGTTTGGAGTATCTTCCTCCATTGTCCAACTGTTGCATTTATTATAATTGTTTAAAAATTTTTTTTTTTACTATTTTGATGACCATTGCTAGTGTGTGTGTTAAGCCGCCCGCATACTAGATTGGGTTTGCTCCTAGCAGAGCTCGGCTAGGCGAAGCGAACTCCCTTAAAAAGACCTTCGCTTCAAAAAATAGAAAAAAACTGTAATTTTACTGTTTGTCCCTCTTGAGACGCCATAGCAACAACATAGCCACTTATTTCTTGATTTATCTTAGATTAATTCAGACTCTTTAATTCAGTCGCGCAATTTTACGTCTAAGATTTCTGCATGAAAACTAGTCTTGTTGAATGAACAAACACTTAATTGAAGAATCCCGTCCATAGTTCCCGCTCCTATAGGAGAAGTACTGTTGACAAATCACAGATGAAGGGGCGTAGACTTCGGCTACCGAACTTCGGCTTGGCTCAATAAATGTTTTTGTGTGATCGAACAGCCGTAAAAAAAAAACTGCCGAACACCAAAACTAACAAATACGTCACAAAATGTTGGCATAATATCTTGTCTGTGTTCAGAGGGTCCCTGGATCAAGCCCAGGTTGGGGCAAGGAGAGGGACGGACGGCTACATGGAGCAGGCCTTTGCAAACAAGCTTCTTAAATACCAGCGCTCGTGGAACGCTTGGACAGCCTCGGGTGTAGGTGCAAGCTGATATTTGGCAGTCTCGGCAACGTACACAGGCTTGCAGTGCGTGGCCTCCAGATTGCGGGCCTGCTAAAAACTAGGGCAAAGCAGTTGGCCAGGTACTGCTCATGGGCAGCCTAGCTGTTTGGAGAAGGAGGTGCTTTTTGTACCCTTGAGTGTCCATGCGTACAGGGACCTTTTGAAATGTTTGGATCCTTTTTTAATGTACGTTTGATTGGTGGATTCCAATAAAGTATTTCAAATGTGTTTGTGAACTAACACTCGCACTTTACTTTTTTCTCCCCTTACTAGCTCGGACTTTGCTGATAGCTATTTTATTGAGGAAAATGTACTTCCTGTGTGTGTGTGTGATGTGAGTTAGATAAGTCTGAATGACACACATGTTCTCCCGCTCTACATCCCTGCATTCCCTTAGGCCTTGCTGCAGAGAAGCAGTCAAGGAGGGTTAAATATTAGCACCGCTAGCATCAGTTTTAACTCAGCTAACCCACAGCATTGTCAAACACACAGGCACACACACTGATAAACACACACACACACACAGCCAGAGCCCAGTCTTATCTTTATCCTAGAGATGCTCATTGATTTTATGATGATCCGTGCGTCAGTAGAAATATCCTTTATTATCCTGTTCAATGTCTTTCTAACTGAACTAGTCCCTTTCCCTACTTTCCAATCTATCTTCATCTCTCTCTCTCTCTCTCTCTCTCTCTCTGCCTCTCACTCTCTCCATCTCTCTAAGAAAAACCCTTGAATGAGTAGGTGTGTCCAAACTTTTGACTGGTAAAGTACACCCAGTCAGCCCCATATACACCCAGTCAGACCCTCTCCTGGCCCATTCATGCCCAAATTAATAGTCCAGGTTGATCTTATCTTAGGCTACATGGGAGGTTTATTAGCTTAGGCTACATGGGAGGTTTATTATCTTAGGCTACATGGGAGGTTTATTAAGGAAGCGCGAAGAAATCACAGGAAGAGAAGGACAGCAGTGTGACAACAACAGTTACAACAGAGGAAGACTGACTCTGCGGTGGGGGAAATATGTTTAGTATACAGTAACAATGGTTATTGATAGAAAAAGATAGATGCACGGACTCACTGACATGACAGGCAGTTTAGTTCAATGACTTATTGACTGTCTGCCCTGAGAGCTTTCATATGCCATGGTCTTTATGGCTAATAATACCTAATGAAAACAGAACATGACATCTGAGTATGTTTCGATCAATAAAAACAGGAAGAGAGTCAGCCCCTGTGATCTTTAATCATAGTAACCTCCCTGGGGTAACCACTACCTTTGAGGTAAGAGATGTAACACCACTATATCCATTCCCCTATATAAAACACAGATATGTCATATCAACAGATTACTAATAATACATGTATCTATTGTAGTTATCTGATGTATGGGGGCATTATGGTGTCCATGTTACATTTTACAGACGCGTTTATCCAGAGGGCACATCAACAGATGTTTCACCTAGTCGGCTCGGGGATTCGAACCAGCAACCTTTCGGTTACTGGCCCAACACTCTTAACCGCTAGGCTACTTGCCGCCCTTTTATGTTAGGACAGCCTCAGTCTCAGCAGGAGTTGTTTCTGTCTAGCAGCCAGTGCAGTACTTCAGTATCCACTGATAGTCGCATGGTCATGTCTTTGTCCAGTGGTTTGTTTCCATAGCTCCTGTTGTTGCAGGCTGTTGCAGGTTGAGTCCTCTTCTAATGTACATGTGAGTCTTACATCATGATGTCACAAATCATTCCATGGTATCACAGAGTGGCATAGTCAATGTCAAACAGTTAATGACGTCATTTGTGGACCTAGAGAACACCTAATCACTTCTAAGTTAGCTGCTATTTAGCATTGACAAGCAAAAAGTAAACAGTGTGTACGTACAGTATGCAAACTTATAATGTAGTGAAAGTAAAACAGTTAGAAAATGATAAGAAGTTCATAGTCACAGTGAAACATCTCTGTATATACACAGTTCCTTTAACAACGATACATAATGTCACAAAGGCTCAAAGTCCAGAATGTCCAGTTAAGTTCTAAAGGTCGTAGAATGCATGCCCATGAATCCAAAGTTCAAAGGTCGAGTTGATATTATAATGAGATATCTGGATGGCATGGCAACACACAGGAACAACCTCAGTTAAGCTGGATCTAAGGAGAGGAGCGGGACTATGGACAACCCTTGCATTGATACATGTACAGTATACATCTATTTACATTAAACCAATTTTCTCAAATATACTCCAGAGTAATCTGGATAGAATATGTAAGGCTTGTTTCCCGTACACAGCATTGGCCTAGTCCTGGACTAAAAAGCATGCTCAATGGAGATTCTCAATTGAAAGTGATTCTTAGTCCGGGCCTAGGTCTAATCTGTGTCTGGGAAATTGGCCTATACGGTTTAATATATTGACACTATTTCTTCAGATAGTCCTTGGTGACGGCCTCCAAGAAGTTGGGAGCAGACATGAGGATGGTGAAGGTGCCGATGATGGAGAAGAGAGTGAAGGCCACCAGACACAGCCTGTCCACCACGGCAGCAGCAAACTTCCACTCGCTGCAGATCGCCACTTCCTCATCCTGGTCCCTAAAGCGCTGGGCGATATACGACACCTCCTCCAGGATCTGAAGGACTTCCGGAGGAGTAAAGATCAACCCCCCTCCTCTTCCACCACCACCTCCTCCCCCTCTTCCAGCACCTCCCCCTGGGGGCTCAGCCTCCTCGCAGGGGGTCCCTTGGGCCTGTCCCCCCAATGCCATGCCAGAGTCGCTGGAGGGCGGACAGCGGGGGCTCTCCACAGCATTGTAGCTGAAGTAGAGGCTCATGCTGCCGTTGGAGGTGCCGGTGGGGCAGGGGGCCTGGGAGAGGGGCGTGGTGAGGCCCGTCATGGTGCCCATAGGGCCCATCTCGATGGAGCTGGCACTGGAGTGGTGCTGGGGAGGGTGGCGGTACTTGTAGCCCGCGGGTTTACGCTCCTCGCCTGGCTCTTTCATTCGCAGGAACCAGGCACACCAGTTCAACAGCACAACCCTGACCTGGACAGAGAGAGAGGGGGTTGAGACTGAAACACACACACACAGTGACGATGATGATGACGACGACAATGATGATGGTGATAAGGATGTGATGACGATGGTGATGGTGATGACGACGATAATGATGATGGTGATAAGGATGTGATGACGATGGTGATGGTGATGACGACGACAATGATGATGGTGATAAGGATGTGATGACGATGGTGATGGTGATGACGACGACAATGATGATAAGGATGTGATGACGATGGTGATGATGATGGTGATGGTGATGACGACGATAAGGATGATGAGGGATACGATGAAGATTGGGTGGGGGACTCACCCATCTGGGCATCTTGCCGCCCTGAGGGTCGTGGTGATGGAACTGCAGGACCAGAACAGTCACCACGACTGACAGACCCACTATCATCATGGTACTGGCAAAGTACTGAGCTATAAAACACAAGCCACAACCTCATCAAACATTAACACAGTAACATCACACAGACACTGACCAAAATAATAAAGAGATTGTGCGTGCCAAATGGCACTGGTCATGGCAAAAGCAGTGCACTAAATAGGGAATAGATCGCCATTTGGGACACAGCCAGAGAGTCTTGTCTTTGTAGTGTGGTTTCAGTTGAATGTGTCGTTGTATATCAGTGGATAATCAAGCAACCCAATATAATAACACCAGTAAAACAGAAGAGAAGGCCAACAACACCGAGCTTTAGTGCTCACTCATTGAGGGCACATCATGGATGTGTTCTCTCAGGGGAGGGACTGGGGGAGGGAGGAAGGGAGGGAGGGAGGGATGTGAGGGGAGCTTCACTCCACTCGAGCGTTAACTCAACACTGCTCTTCCCCAAATATCTCAGCTCTGTAGATGCCTCCCAGGCCAGTCACACCCCCCTCCCTCTCTCTGTTAGCAAACCCACCGCGAAACACTTCAGACAAGAAGAAACGCTAGCAGGACGCTAGCGGGGCTAAGGGCACATGACCCACTGTGGGATCAGGGTTAGGGTTAACCCTGGCCGGCTTAGGAAGAGGGGGAGGGAGGAAGAGGAGGGGGAAGAGAGGAAGAGGAGTGAAATATAGGAGAAAATAGACAAGACAGAGGAAGAGTATGGTGAAAAGTAAGAGAGGGAGCAGGAGGAGGAAGAGGTGGAAAACACAGAAGTAGAACACAAATGAAGATAAGGATGAGAAAGGGGTGGAGGCAGGAGAAGAGTGGAATTCTAATAAGGAATAGGAGTTGGATGAAGACACCAGATAGCAGCCCTGCCAGAGTCTAATCCAGCAGAGTGGAGGTGGGAAGTGCAGAGATGCCCCTACAGACCTACAGAGTGCTGACTAACACTGCCCTTCACTTAGAACTCTACACAGCCCATCCCCATCGGAGCCTGTCAGCAGCTTCACATTCACACACAGACACACACAAAACTACATAAGTGTGTTAAGAGTGAGACACACAGAGATGGAGCAGGCCAGGGAAGGGGAGGATGGGGTGAAGATGAGAGCGGGTGCTGACGTTACCACTTTTTGGGTATAGTGGGACCTCATCAGTACCCTGACTGTGGTTCAGTGTCTCGAGGCCCAAAAAACACATTCAACCAATCAACGTGGATTTGCCGGATCAGGTGTGTTAGTACTGGGCTGGAACAAAAGCCTGCAAACACTGTGGACCTTCTAGGACCAGGAGTGAGAAACACTGCTGTGTAATGTATAAACAGATTGAAATGTACAGGCAGCTACTGGAGTATAACTCACTGGCAGACAAACACGCTGTGTAGTTCATTGGTGTAAATGGGTATCATTAATTTTTATTTGACTCCTCAAAGCGTTTGAGCGCTGAGCACTGGGCCTCCCTGCTGGTCAATGGGACATCAAATCTGATTGATTACATCCTAAACACAACTAACAGCATTTCTCAGTCAGAGCCGCAGCTGTTACACTAGCTCAACCGAGACACAGGCTCACTCACTAACAGTTTATGGCGCTAATACAAATACACACAGATATTTACATGATAAACAAATGTATGACTATTTTGCAGGAAGATTTATAGAAACTGCATAGATCTACAGGCACACACACACTCCTCCCAGGCCTCCACACCAGTGAGGTGATGGCTGAATTAGTGAGCGTTAACCCTCATATCACGAGTGTCTCATCACAGCAGCTTAAGCCTTTGAAATTCTCTCAGAACTTTACCCCCTAAAAGTTACTCATCTCCCTCCCTCCCTCCATCCTGCCTTCTGTCCTGCTCTTCTTCCTCTCCTCACAACCTGCCTGGCTTGTCACAACCTGCCTGGCTTGTCACAGCCTGCCTGGCTTGTCACAACCTGCCTGGCTTGTCACAGCCTGCCTGGCTTGTCACAACCTGCCTGGCTTGTCACAGCCTGCCTGGCTTGTCACAGCCTGCCTGGCTTGTCACAGCCTGCCTGGCTTGTCACAACCTACTAATAATGTTGACAGTGTCATCGTCATCGTCAGCCTGTTCTAACACCATCCTGCTCCATCATATCATCAGGGGATTGAGACTGACATACTGTACATATAGTACCATTCAAAAGTTTGGACACACCTACTCATTCAAGGGTTTTTCTTTATTTTTTACTATTTTCTACATTGTAGAATAATAATATAGTTTTCATTGTTTTGATGTCTTCACTATTATTCTACAATGTAGAAAATAGTTTAAAAAATAAAGAAGAACCCTGGAATGAGTAGGTGTGTCCAAACATTTGACTGGTACTGTATGTCACGGGAGGCTGGTGGCACCTTAATTGGGCAGGACGGGCTCGTGGTAATGACTACATCAAACACATGGTTTCCTTGTGTTTGATGCCATTCCATTCGCTCCGTTGCAAACATTATTATGAGCTGGTCATCATCTTCAAAGTTGTTTCCACGGGTCGCAAAATTAGCATGGCGAGCTGAATTCAATGTAAAAGACTTTGAAAACAAAAAGCTTGGTATACGCTCAGTGCTCCGTTGACATTTCACAGAGATACGCTTGTTCTTCGAAAAAGAACAGAAATTTGAAATGAATATGAAAAGCGTATACTAAAACATGTAATGTCTCTAAATCGATATCTATCTGACCTCTATATTGTTTTATGTCCTGCGGATTGGAGAAGAAAGATGACGAGTTCAACAGGAAAGTGAGCTTGTCAGGTAGCCAGTAGCCTTAATTCTTGCACAGAATCCAGCCTAGCTGACGTGATACAATTTTCCAGAATTGTTTTATTTTAACCACGGTTTTTCTCTGGCCTATTTAGTCTCCCTAATTCTGGCCATCCTATTAGGTTAAAACTCCAATAACTTTGGAACTGGTTATGATAGAGACCTGAGGTTTGGGCCATTAGATTTCTCCGTGGACTATCTACACAATTAACATATTACTTTACCCATTGGTCAAAATATATGTTTTTGATTGGACACCCTAGTACAGGGTTCTTCAATTCCGGTCCTGGAGGGCCGAGACACCTCTGTTTTTCATCCTCTCCTTCTAATCAGGGGCTAATTCAGACCTGGGACACCAGGTGAGTGCAATTAACTACCAGGTAGAAATAAAAAACAGAAGTGTTTTGGCCCTCCAGGACCGGAATTGAAGAACCCTGCCCTAGTACATAGGATCTCAGCCCTCACTGACATTAATTACTTATTAATGTACAGCTAGTCGAACCTAGCGAGGCCATCAGAGGATCACAGACTGTATTAACATACATATTAACACAAGATTTGCACACACACATTAATACAAACACACACACTCTGGCTTTACACTCACTAATGCACAGCCAATCATACCAAACCATAAGAGGACAGAGGATAATGTATATAACGGCCACACATACACAGAACCCACCAATGAGAGGCACAGAGTCTGAGGTGGCGGGCATGATCTCAGCAACCAGTAGCATGAAGACTGTTAGAGAGAGCAGGACTGTGATACCTGGGGAGAGAGAGAGAGAGAGTGAGCGAGCGGGAGAAAGTGAGAAAGAGAGCAGGAATAAGTCTTCTACCTGTTAAGTATAGCATGATAAAAGAGAAGAAGGTCTAGAGGGAAAGGAGTGGTGTGTGTGTGTGTGTGCGTGCAAGTCTTTGCTGCCTCAGCCCAACCTGTCACAGTAATGTACAGTGAAGCGTTATGCATGGCTAGCTGTGGACCAACCAACACAGGACCAGAGGTGATGCCCAGGTGAGCTGATGATGTCATAAGATGTTAAACATGCAGCGACAGTCAGGGAATAAATAAACCACTGTCGTCCTTCATAACTAATCTGCTCGCCTGCTGTGCCTGTTTATGGCTGTTACACTGCTACTACCTACTGGGTTGAAATACACATTTCTATTAGTGATAGGGGAAAAGATGTATACAGTTGCATATCGCAATAATATTTTGCACAATATTATATCGATACTTTGACTCCAAATAATAATAATATATATTTTTGCTAAGTACAGTAGTGTTAGATAGCGCTAGTCGGCTGTACCTGCGCCAAAATTCCGGTAGAGAGAGCGAGATAAGATTGTCAGACTCATTGACATTGACTTGGAATACGTTACGCAAGTGATCAATTATAACTGCTTGGCTAAACCAACTTGTTAGCCTGACGGTTTCTCTGATATGTTCAAGGCAAGTATGTTCAAGGCAAGGCATATGTTCAAGGCAAGAGATTACAGTTAACTGCTCATCCTGCGATATCTATTAATCAAGCCTAATAATAAACCTGACAGAAGTCCAGTATGGATAGAACTCTGTAACAGACAAAATTCCAAGATGGCTTCCCGGCTTTCATTCCTTACCCAGGGAGATCTTCTCTCCGGAGTCGGCGGGCAGCAGGAAGACCAGAAGGGCGAGGCCAGAGATGAGGACACAGGGTATGAGCAGGTTGAGACCGTAGTAGAGAGTTCGTCTTCGCATGGTGACCGTGAACGTGACATCAGGGTAGGGCTCCTTACAGCAGTCATAGTACAGCTCATTACGCTTGGCAGGGACTCCTAGGAGATACACACACATTAAGAAACACAGAGGTGGAGTTAGGGGGAATTCAAAAGCAGTGCATTTACATTGATTCAACAATGGCCTGTTCACATTTTCTTTGACACACACACACACAAGTACGAACCACAAATTTCAAAGGACCTACAGTGAGGGAAAAAAGTATTTGATCCCCTGCTGATTTTGTACGTTTGCCCACTGACAAAGAAATGATCAGTCTATAATTTTAATGGTAGGTTTATTTGAACAGTGAGAGACAGAATAACAACAAACAAATCCAGAAAAATGCATGTAAAAAATGTTATACATTTATTTGCATTTTAATGAGGGAAATAAGTATTTGACCCCCTCCAATCAGAAAAATGTCTGGCTTCCAGGTGTCTTTTATACAGGTAACGAGCTGAGATTAGGAGCACACTCTTAAAGGGAGTGCTCCTAATCTCAGCTTGTTACCTGTATAAAAGACACCTGTCCACAGAAGCAATCAATCAATCAGATTCCAAACTCTCCACCATGGCCAAGACCAAAGAGCTCTCCAAGGATGTCAGGGACAAGATTGTAGACCTACACAAGGCTGGAATGGGCTACAAGACCATCGCCAAGCAGCTTGGTGAGAAGGTGACAACAGTTGGTGCGATTATTCGCAAATGGAAGAAACACAAAATAACTGTCAATCTCCCTCGGCCTGGGGCTCCATGCAAGGTCTCACCTCGTGGAGTTGCAATGATCATGAGAACGGTGAGGAATCAGCCCTGAACTACACGGGAGGATCTTGTCAATGATCTCAAGGCAGCTGGGACCATAGTCACCAAGAAAACAATTGGTAACACACTACGCCGTGAAGGACTGAAATCCTGCAGCGCCCGCAATGTCCCCCTGCTCAAGAAAGCACATATACAGTGGGGAAAAAAGGATTTAGTCAGCCACCAATTGTGCAAGTTCTCCCACTTAAAAAGATAAGAGAGGCCTGTAATTTTCCTCATTTGTACACGTCAACTATGACAGACAAAATGAGGGAAAAAATCCAGAAAATCACATTGTAGGATTTTTAATGAATTTATTTGCAAATTATGGTGGAAAATAAGTATTTGGTCAACTACAAACAAGCAAGATTTCTGGCTCTCACAGACCTGTAACTTCTTCTTTAAGAGGCTCCTCTGTCCTCCACTCGTTACCTGTATTAATGGCACCTGTTTGACCTTGTTATCAGTATAAAAGACACCTGTCCACAACCTCAAACAGTCACACTCCAAACTCCACTATGGCCAAGACCAAAGAGCTGTCAAAGGACACCAGAAACAAAATTGTAGACCTGCACCAGGCTGGGAAGACTGAATCTGCAATAGGTAAGCAGCTTGGTTTGAAGAAATCAACTGTGGGAGCAATTATTAGGAAATGGAAGACATACAAGACCACTGATAATCTCCCTCGATCTGGGGCTCCACGCAAGATCTCACCCCGTGGGGTCAAAATGATCACAAGAACGGTGAGCAAAAATCCCAGAACCACACGGGGGACCTAGTGAATGACCTGTAGAGAGCTGGGACCAAAGTAACAAAGCCTACCATCAGTAACACACTACGCCGCCAGGGACTCAAATCCTGCAGTGCCAGACGTGTCCCCCTGCTTAAGCCAGTACATGTCCAGGCCCGTCTGAAGTTTGCTAGAGTGCATTTGGATGATCCAGAAGAGGATTGGGAGAATGTCATATGGTCAGATGAAACCAAAATATAACTTTTTGGTAAAAACTCAACTCGTCGTGTTTGGAGGACAAAGAATGCTGAGTTGCATCCAAAGAACACCATACCTACTGTGAAGCATGGGGGTGGAAACATCATGCTTTGGGGCTGTTTTTCTGCAAAGGGACCAGGACGACTGATCTGTGTAAAGGAAAGAATGAATGGGGAGATTTTGAGTGAAAACCTCCTTCCATCAGCAAGGGCATTGAAGATGAAATGTGGCTGGGTCTTTCAGCATGACAATGATCCCAAACACACCGCCTGGGCAACGAAGGAGTGGCTTCGTAAGAAGCATTTCAAGGTCCTGGAGTGGCCTAGCCAGTCTCCAGATCTCAACCCCATAGAAAATCTTTGGAGGGAGTTGAAAGTCTGTGTTGCCCAGCGACAGCCCCAAAACATCACTGCTCTAGAGGAGATCTGCATGGAGGAATGGGCCAAAATACCAGCAACAGTGTGTGAAAACCTTGTGAAGACTTACAGAAAACGTTTGACCTGTGTCATTGCCAACAAAGGGTATATAACAAAGTATTGAGAAACTTTTGTTATTGACCAAATACTTATTTTCCACCATAATTTGCTAATAAATTCTTTAAAAATCCTACAATGTGATTTTCTGGATTATTTTTTTCTCATTTTGTCTGTCATAGTTGATGTGTACCTATGATGAAAATTACAGGCCTCTCTCATATTTTTAAGTGGGAGAACTTGCACAATTGGTGGCTGACTAAATACTTTTTTTCCCCACTGTACATGCCCGTCTGAAGTTTGCCAATGAACATCTGAATGATTCAGAGGAGAACTGGGTGAAAGTGTTGTGGTCAGATGAGACCAAAATGGAGCTCTTTGGCATCAACTCAACTCGCCGTGTTTGGAGGAGGAGGAATGCTGCCTATGACCCCAAGAACACCATCCCCACCGTCAAACATGGAGGTGGAAACATTATGCTTTGGGGGTGTTTTTCTGCTAAGGGGACAGGACAACTTCACCGCATCAAAGGGACGATGGACGGGGCCATGTACTGTCAAATCTTGGGTAAGAACCTCCTTCTCTCAGCCAGGGCATTGAAAATGGGTAGTGGATGGGTATTCCAGCATGACAATGACCCAAAACACACAGCCAAGGCAACAAAGGTGTGGCTCAAGAAGAAGCACATTAAGGTCCTGGAGTGGCCTAGCCAGTCTCCAGACCTTAATCCCATAGAAAATCTGTGGAGGGAGCTGAAGGTTCGAGTTGCCAGTGTGGAGTAAACATGAAATGTGCCATCGGGCTCAGTCTGACACCCCCCATACCCAGACACCCCCCTCGGGGACCCTCTACTGGCCCTGCTTGGTCGCAACTGGCTGGGGCCCCACCCCCTCTCCCACAACCCCATTCCCACCCACCTCTATAGAGATAGTGACAGAGAGACACAGACAGACAGAGAGAGAGAGAGAGAGAGAGAGAGAGAGAGAGAGAGAGAGAGAGAGAGAGATGGAGGGGGGAGAGGAGAGAGAGATTAACCACATCGTACCCACGAGGTCCCACTCTCCATTGGGTATGTAGGTAGACGTGTCCACGTCCAGCATCTGCAGGTCCAGCAGCCAGCCGTTGTGGGTCCACGAGCCAAACTTTAGGTCACACTTCTGGACGTCGAAGGGGAACCAGCGCACGTCAATATAGCAGGTACTCTTCAGGATGCCTGGGGGGATGTACTGGCAGTAACCCGACGCATTCACCAGCACGTTGGTATGGAACGTGGCATCAAATCTCTCATCAGCACTGTAGGGAGAAGGAGAGAGAGAGAGATACCTTTAACCTGTGACATCTCAATAGATCCATGTCAAAATGTATTACTTTAAATGTTATGTATTATACATTTCATTTGTGAGGTAAGACAGAATACAAGGAGACGTGTATGTGTGTATAATCAAATCAAATCAAGTTTATTTGCCACATGCGCCAAATTCGACAGGTGTAGACATTACAGTGAAATGCTTACTTACTAGCCCTTAACCAACAATGCAATTAAAGAGCAGCAGTAAAATAAAATAACAGTAGGGAGGTTATTTACAGGGGGTACCGGTACAAAGTAAATGTGCGGGGGCACCGGTTAGTCGAGGTAATTGAGGTAATATGAACATGTGGGTAGAGTTAAAGTGACTATGCATTAATAATAAACAGAGTAGCAGCAGCGTAAAAGAGGGGGGTGGGGGGGGGGCAATGCAAATAGTCCGGGTAGCCATGTTTAGCTGTTCAGGAGTCTTATGGCTTGGGGTCAGAAGCTGATAGCCTTTTGGACCTAGACTTGGCGCTCCGGTACCGCTTGCCGTGCAGTAGCAGAAAGAACAGTCTATGACTAGGATGGCTGGAGTCTTTGATAATTTTTAGGGCCTTCCTCTGACACCGCCTGGTATAGAGGTCCTGGATGGCAGGAAGCTTGGCCCCAGTGATGTACTGGGCCATACGCACTACCCTCGGTAGTGCCGTGCGGTCGGAGGCCGAGCAGTTGCCATACCAGGCTGTGATGCAACCTGTCAGGATTCTCTCAATGGTGCAGCTGTAGAACTGTTTGAGGACCCATGCCAAATCCTTTCAGTCTCCTGAGGGGGAATAGGCTTTGTCGTGCCCTCTTCACGACTGTCTTGGTGTGTTTGGACCATGAAGGTTTGTTGGTGATGTGGACACCAAGGAACTTGAAGCTCTCAACCTGTTCAACTACAGCCCCGTCGATGAGAATGGGGGCGTGCTCAGTCCTCTTTTTTTTCCTATGGTCCACAATCATCTCCTTTGTCTTGATCACATTGAGGGAGAGGTTGTTATCCTGGCACCACACGGCCAGGTCTCTCATCATTGTCGGTGATCAGGCCTACCACTGTTGTTTCGACCGGACGGACAGACGGACAGACAAACAGCGAGTCTTTGCTGCCTCAGCCCAACCTGTCACAGTAATGTACAGTGAAGCGTTATGCATGGCTAGCTGTGGACCAACCAACACAGGACCAGAGGTGATGCCCAGGTGAGCTGATGATGTCATAAGATGTTAAACATGCAGCGACAGTCAGGGAATAAACAAACTACTGTCATCCTTCATAACTAATCTGCTCGCCTGCTGTGCCTGTTTATGGCTGTTACACTGCTATTACCTACTGGGTTGAAACACACATTTCTATGGTAGAACATATTACATATGCATTTAGAGGTCAGCTAAAGCCAGAGTTAGAGACGTAAAAACAGTCAGACAACCTGCCCTGTGCCAACACACACACACACACCCTGTAAGTAATGCACACAGATCTACAGTAACACACACTCTCCTTAAGTAACAAAGACACCCTTTAATGACACACTCAGTCCTACAACACACACACACACCCCTGGAGTAACACATACACACCCCTGGAGTAACACACACATACACACCCTGGAGTAACACACACACATACACACCCCTGGAGTAACACACACACCCTGGAGTAACACACACACACCCCTGGAGTAACACATACACACCCCTGGAGTAACACACACATACACACCCCTGGAGTAACACACACACATACACACCCCTGGAGTAACACACACACCCCTGGAGTAACACACACACACACCTGGAGTAACACACACACACACCCCTGGAGTAACACATACACACCCCTGGAGTAACACACACATACACACCCCTGGAGTAACATACACACCCCTGGAGTAACACACACACACCCCTGGAGTAACACACACACCCCTGGAGTAACACACACACACCTGGAGTAACACACACACACCTGGAGTAGGTATACAGTAACCCTCTTAGTATGATTCCCATCGTGTGCCATTCCTCTGCCAATGTTCACCCACTGTCACATACACACAAACATGCATTCTGGGAAACAGGAGATGTCATCAGAGAGAGAGAGAGGTTACATCATTGGTGTGATTGCCGGTGGGTTTGTGCACCAAGAGCCGTGAACGGTGCGCGCTAACATTTCGGAGCGATGCAAATCTCCCTCCCTCCATCCCTCTTTCACTGGATAACTGTGATAGATAAAGAGATGGAGCTGGAGAGGAGAGGGATCTGGTCCGGTTTGATGAGGAATTGTGACACAGAGATAACAAGGACATTACTGGGTCTAGAGGGTCTACTGGGTCTAGAGGGTCTACTGGGTCTAGAGGGTCTACTGGGTCTAGAGGGTCTACTGGGTCTAGAGGGTCTACTGGGTCTAGAGGGTCTACTGGGTCTAGAGGGTCTACTGGGTCTAGAGGGTCTAGTGGGTCTAGAGGGTCTACTGGGTCTAGAGGGTCTACTGGGTCTAGAGGGTCTACTGGGTCTAGAGGGTCTACTGGGTCTAGAGGGTCTACTGGGTCTAGAGGGTCTACTGGGTCTAGAGGGTCTACTGGGTCTAGAGGGTCTACTGGGTCTAGAGGGTCTACTGGGTCTAGAGGGTCTACTGGGTCTAGAGGGTATACTGGGTCTAGAGGGTATACTGGGTATACTGGGTCTAGAGGGTATACTGGGTCTAGAGGGTCTACTGGGTCTAGAGGGTCTACTGGGTCTAGAGGGTCTACTGGGTCTAGAGGGTCTACTGGGTCTAGAGGGTCTACTGGGTCTAGAGAGTCTAGAGGGTCTACTGGGTCTTCTGGGTCTAGAGGGTCTAGAGCACATATGTCAGAGTCAAGGCCCGCGGGCCACATCCGGCCCGCGAGAAGGTTTTTTACGGCCCCTGGGATGATCTTGATTTATTATTAGAACCGGCCCGCAGACCGCAGCAAGCCGGCAGCCCGCAGATCTTTTACACGCACCAATACTACATTTCCCACAATGCAACGGTGACGCACCGAGCAGTAGGCTGCTTCATTTCAATATTTATTGGCACAGCAGTCGTCAGCATCACAGTAAAATTAACTTTCAGATACCCATCAAAAATGGCAAAACGGAAGGTGGACACTATTTTCATCCGCGGAGTGGACTCCAGCCTAAGCGTGACAGAGGAGTTTTTGGCTTTACGTCCTATGCATGGCACAACTACGGGGCATGATTTGTATGAAGAGGTGTCAAGATGTGTAAATGAGATGGAGCTGCCTTGGGAAAAACTCGTGGGTTTGACAACCGACGGAGCACCTGCGATGTGTGGACACAGGAGCGGACTGGTGGCGAAGATACGGGAAAAGATGCAAGAGGAAAACGCGACAGGTGAGCTGACAGCTTATCATTGTATCATAAACCAGGAAGCGTTGTGCGGTAAAGCCTTGAAAATGGAGCATGTAATGAGCATCATCACGCGCACAGTTAACTTTATCAGAGCCAAAGGTTTGAATCACCGCCAGTTCAAGGCATTTCTGACGGAGTTAGAAACGGAGCATGGTGATTTGCCTTATCACACAGAGGTGCGATGGCTAAGCCAGGGAAAGGTGCTTCAAAGATGTTTCGAGCTTCGTGAGGAGATTTGTCTGTTCTTGGACAGCAAAGGGAAAGACACAACACAACTCCGAGACGAAATGTTTCTGTGTGAAATGGCTTTTCTGTGTGACATTACGAGTCATCTGAATGCAATGAACTTGCAGCTGCAGGGTCGGGATCATGTCATCTCTGATATGTACAGTACAGTGAAGGCATTTAAAACCAAACTGACTCTGTGGGAGACGCAGATGCGGAAAGAAAATTTGAGCCACTTTCCCAGCTGCCAGACCATGAAAGAGAAGCTCTCTACCAGTGCGTTCCCGAGCGCACAGTTGGCTGATAAAATAGGTATGCTTGCCGCTGACTTTCGACGCCGATTTGCTGACTTTGAAGCACAAAAAAGCAGGTTGGAACTGCTCGGTAACCCATTTGCTGTTGACGTGGAAAGCTCACCACCAAACCTCCAAATGGAGTTGATTGACCTCCAATGCAATGATGCACTGAGGGCAAAATATGCGGCAGTGGGTGCTGCGGAGTTCGCCCGTTTCCTCCCCGACACAATGCCCCAGCTGCGCATCCAGGCTGCTCAAACGTTGTCTATGTTTGGCAGCACATACCTGTGTGAACAACTGTTTTCTTTGATGAACCTGAACAAAACATCACACAGAAGTCGACTTACTGCTGAACACCTCCACTCAATTCTGAGGATTTCCTCAGCTCAGAGCCTTACCCCGAACATTGATGAACTTGTGGAAAAGATGGGACACCACCAAGTATCACCCTCAACCTCAAACAAGTGAACATTACTGTGCAATCACATATTTAGAGTTTTTACTCAGTTCAAGTTTAAAAGTTAAAGTTTAATATTTGTTTTCACTGCATGTTACTTCTCCTTAAACAAAGTGTTGTTTTTGATTAATAGATTTTTGCACTTTATTTTATTGTATTTCAATCCAATTATATTTTAAAAATATTTCAGTTGAGTGGATGATAGAAAATTGCTATTATTGTTTTTTTCTTTGAAGTAAATTTAGCCCACTTTTGCTAAAATAGAAAATATAGGCTACTGATGGTGCCTTGAATACCGGTTTCTTTCATTTAATGTTCATGTTATGGGGATTTTTATATAAAGGAAATTTGTCTTTTGTGTCTGTTGAAAATTAAAGATTACTGACAGAGCCATAAGAAAATATTGCTTTATTTATCTGATCATATTGGAATATATTTGTTAGGTTTTCAGTAGGTTCAATTAGGTTCACTAGACTATATGCGTCATTTAAAAATTTTTCAATGAACATTCGAACAGTCCGGCCCTCGGCTTGTAGCTAAATTTTTTATTTGGCCCTCCGTCCATTTGACTTTGACACCCCTGGTCTAGAGGGTCTAGAGGATCTAGAGGGTCTACTGGGTCTACTGGGTCTAGAGAGTCTACTGGGTCTAGAGGGTATACTGGGTCTAGAGGGTCTACTGGGTCTAGAGGGTCTACTGGGTCTAGAGGGTCTACTGGGTCTAGAGGGTCTACTGGGTCTAGAGGGTCTACTGGGTCTAGAGGGTCTACTGGGTCTACTGGGTATACTGAGTCTAGAGGGTCTAGAGGGTCTACTGGGTCTAGAGGGTCTACTGGGTCTAGAGGGTCTACTGGGTCTACTGGGTATACTTTGTCTAGAGGGTCTAGAGGGTATACTGGGTCTAGTGGGTCTACTGGGTCTAGTGGGTCTACAGGGTCTAGAGGATCTAGAGGGTCTACTGGGTCTAGAGGGTCTACTGGGTCTAGAGGATCTAGAGAGTCTACTGGGTCTAGAGGATATACTGGGTCTAGAGGGTCTACTGGGTCTAGAGGGTCTACTGGGTCTAGAGGGTCTACTGGGTCTAGAGGGTCTACTGGGTCTAGAGGGTCTACTGGGTCTAGTGGGTCTAGAGGGTCTAGTGGGTCTAGAGGGTCTACTGGGTCTAGTGGGTCTACTGGGTCTAGAGGGTCTACTGGGTCTAGAGGGTCTACTGGGTCTAGAGGGTCTACTGGGTCTACTGAGTCTAGAGGGTCTACTGGGTCTAGAGGGTCTACTGGGTCTAGAGGGTCTACTGGGTCTACTGAGTCTAGAGGGTCTACTGGGTCTAGAGGGTCTAGAGGGTATACTGGGTCTAGAGGGTCTACTGGGTCTAGAGGGTCTACTGGGTCTAGAGGGTCTACTGGGTCTACTGAGTCTAGAGGGTCTACTGGGTCTAGAGGGTCTACTGGGTCTAGAGGGTCTACTGGGTATACTGAGTCTAGAGGGTCTACTGGGTCTAGAGGGTCTACTGGGTCTAGAGGGTCTACTGGGTCTAGAGGGTCTACTGGGTATACTGGGTCTAGAGGGTCTACTGGGTCTAGAGGGTCTACTGGGTCTAGAGGGTCTACTGGGTATACTGAGTCTAGAGGGTCTACTGGGTCTAGAGGGTCTACTGGGTCTAGAGGGTCTACTGGGTATACTGGGTCTAGAGCAGTGGTCACCAACCTTTTCTGAGTCAAAATGCAAGCAGAGATCTACCACTCAGATTATTTTTTAAACATGACTTAAAAAACGTAAGGTTATGAAACATTAACCAGTTCAAAACAGTTCTGTAGCAATGAGGTTTGTGCAGTAGGCTATAGGCCTAATACATTATCAATGCATTTAGGCTATGCTTAAATTGCCAATGTTGTTCTCAGACCATTTTGAAATTATATTTCAAAATGGTAGGTATATGATCACACTGGTAATAGATAATGTGTTGTATTACTTGTGAGGCACAGCTAAGTGAGCATAATACTTAGCAATTATATATTTTTTACTGGACAGATGGCCTGCATCTGATGGTCAGTCTGAGGGGAGGGAGGGAGCAGCGGTGAGGCTGCCTCTCACCCGACTCACCGACACTGCCCCTCCGCTCTCCCTCCCTACACTGAGAAAAGGGGACAGACACAGTCTTCCAGCTGATGGTGAAACATAACTCGCACTGCATTATCTCTGCCTCATGCCCCAATTAATGTTGTTACTCCTATGACCAGAGAAAGTGAAATATTCTTCTATTAAAAAAAGACACAAGCCGCTAATAATAACGTAAGCTTATTGAAACACTTTGCTATACTCATTTATTGTAGCTGCAGTGCTGGTTGTAGCGTCTGTGAAAGTAGGGAGAACGCACATCTTATGGCTTATAAAACTGTTGAACAAAGTGTTGACAGTGCTAAATAATGAACTTACTCATAAAAACAGCAGCTCTTTGCTGTATTCGTTGAGTCTCTCTCTAGTCATTGTTTTAAAACGTTTAGAAATCTCACATTATCAACTTTGCTGTGATTTCGAGGCTTCATTTTACAGTCTATGGCGCAAACTGTGCAGACACAGTGATCTGAGCTATCTGATTGGCCAGCGGTAGGCCTATAAGTGCACTTGATTTGCTCTCTGGGTCTGCCGGGTAGGCGGAGTTCTACCTTCAGACACATGAAATGGTTCAAAATGGGAAC